ATAATACATTGTTTAAATGCATCCCTATACAGGTCACCATGCTTTAATAGGCATTACAGTCGGTAGGGCTATTTTAGTTTAAACACTTCGGAGGCGTTCGCGAGCAATATCGTCCGTGACACAGGTATTTTTGGGGGGGGTTAGATCGCCTAAATATATAATTGTCGTTAAACCCGCCACCACCCGATGCAGCCAACTCGGAAGGAAGTGTCACGTAAACAGAACGTCTCCTAACAGAACATCTCCTGGCCACCGTGATGATGATGATGAGAGAGAGACACGCAGACTCCAAATATACAGCAGCAGCAGGCGTCAGGGTCAGGATCGAACCCACGACCTCCTGTACACCAGGCGAGGTAGTTAACATCTCATAGCCACCGTGATGATGATGAGAGAGAGAGAGACACGCAGACTCCAAATATGCAGCAGCAGGCGTTAAAGTCGAGATCGAACCCACGACCTCCTGCATACCAGGCGATGGAGAAAACATCTCCTAGCCACCACGGCGCCTTCCTGATAATGATGATGATGATCGTGACCATGTCCCAAGGTTACCAACCCTTGCCTGAGACTCAACCTCACGACCTTACCACTTGCCGAAGCCCTGCTCGCTCGCCCACCAAATCAGTGCACGCTTTAGCCACCGCGCGAGGAGGCGATGATTGTGCGCGTGGACACCCACGCGCGCGCGCGTACAAAAGGTTCACACTCATCGCGCGCAAACAAAGCGCTTGCCAGTGAATCCACCACGATTACCTCGCCGCTGATCTGCGCCAAACAGCATGAACCATCATCGCGTCCTCGCAGCAACAGCGGCGTTTGGCTCGGCCATCGAACGAAGACGGTGGTCACCGCATCGTCGCGCAGCGCTTTCAGACGCGCTTCTGCGGCCGTCTGGAACGCTCTTCCCTTCCGATGTTCGGAAGCCACTGGGAGCTATGTACCATTTAAATCACACTGGTAAGGAACCTCCTGGTTACTACACCACCAGCCCACAGGGGATTATTGTGTCCGTCCGTCCGTCGTGCATCCAAAAATTGGAGGGATGGGGCTGGGTGGGGAGGGTGGGGAGGGAGGGGCCGGGTGGGGAGGGAGGGGCTGGGTGGGGAGGGTGGGGAGGGGCTGGGTGGGGAGGGGCTGGTCACCCCGTGGTGCCCTTATAAAACTCAACATTTAACCTACTCACGCCGGCTTGTGCCCACCCTCACAGTCGGGCATATTGTGCTGAACACACCACGTGGTGCCGCCGTTGACCTTGGCCATTGACCTTGGCCATTGACCTTGGCCATTGACCTTGGCCATTGACCTTGGCCATTGACCTTGGCCATTGACCGAGGAACCCAACGTTCCTACCAGCTCCTCCCTCCCTGCAGGAGAATGTGATCATCGTCTAGATTGACAAACTCATTTCCCTAGAACTGCTTGTTGTGTGTTTGGTTTGTTGTCCTTTCCCCGCACCTCCGATTAGCACGGTCGGATACGTACGGTGCGAAAGAAGTTCAACATACATACCACTATACACTACACTGATATTACAGCACACTATACACTACACTGATATTACAGCACACTATACACTACACTAAACACTCTACACCACACACTGCTACACCATACACTACAATACACAATACCACTAAACACTAAACACTCTACACCACACACTGCTACACCATACACTACAATACACAACACCACTAACCACTAAACACTCTACACCATACACTGCTACACCATACACTACAATACACAACACCACTAAACACTTTACACCACACACTGCTACACCATACACTACAATACACAACACCACTAAACACTAAACACTTTACACCACACACTGCTACACCATACACTACAATACACAACACCACTAAACACTTTACACCACACACTGCTACACCATACACAACAATACACCACTAACCACTAAATACTTTACACCACACACTACTGCACCATACACTACAATACACAACACCACTAAACACTTTACACCACACACTGCTACACCATACACAACAATACACAACACCACTAAACACTAAACACTTTACACCACACACTACAGCACCATACACTACAATACACAACACCACTAAACATTTTACACCACACACTGCTGCACAATACACTACAATACACAACACCACTAAATACTTTACACCATACACTGTGCACCATACACTACAATACACAACACCACTAAACACTTTACACCACACACTGCTACACCATACACTACAATACACAACACCACTAAACACTAAACACTTTACACCACACACTGCTACACCATACACCACAATACACAACACCACTAAACACTTTACACCACACACTACTGCACCATACACTACAATACACAACACCACTAACCACTAAACACTTTACACCACACACTACTGCACCATACACTACAATACACAACACCACTACACACTAAACACTTTACACCACACACTGCTGCACAATACACTACAATACACAACACCACTAAACACTTTACACTTTACACCACACACTGTGCACCATACACTACAATACACAACACCACTAAACACTAAACACTTTACACCACACACTACTGCATCATACACCACAATACACAACACCACTAAACACTTTACACCACACACTACTGCATCATACACCACAATACACAACACCACTAAACACTTTACACCACACACTGCTACACCATACACTACAATACACAACACCACTAAACACTAAACACTCTACACCACACACTGCTGCACAATACACTACAATACACAACACCACTAAACACTAAACACTTTACACCACACACTACTACACCATACACCACAATACACAACAACACTAAACACTTTACACCACACACTGCTACACCATACACCACAATACACAACACCACTAAACACTTTACACCATACACTGATGCACCATACACTACAATACACAACACCACTAACACTTTACACCACACACTGCTACACCATACACTACAATACACAACACCACTAAACACTAAACACTTTACACCACACACTACTGCACCATACACTACAATACACAACACCACTAAACACTTTACACCACACACTACTGCACCATACACCACAATACACAACACCACTAAACACTCTACACCACACACTGCTACACCATACACTACAATACACAACACCACTAAACACTTTACACTTTACACCACACACTGCTACACCATTCACTACAATACACAACACCACTAAACACTAAACACTCTACACCACACACTGCTGCACAATACACTACAATACACAACACCACTAAACACTTTACACCACACCCTGCTGCACCATACACTACAATACACAACACCACTAAACACTAAACACTTTACACCACACACTACTGCACCATACACTACAATACACAACACCACTAAACACTTTACACCACACACTGCTACACCATACACTACAATACACAACACCACTAAACACTTTACACCACACACTGCTACACCATACACAACAATACACAACACCACTAAACACTTTACACCACACACTGCTACACCATACACTACAATACACAACACCACTAAACACTTTACACCACACACTGCTACACCATACACTACAATACACAACACCACTAAACACTTTACACCACACACTGATGCACCATACACTACAATACACAACACCACTAAACATTTTACACCACACACTGCTGCACAATACACTACAATACACAACATCACTAAACACTAAACACTTTACACCACACACTGCTGCACCATACACTACAATACACAACACCACTAAACACTTTACACCACACACTGCTGCACAATACACTACAATACACATCACTAAACACTAAACACTTTACACCATACACTGCTACACCATACACTACAATACACAACACCACTAAACACTTTACACCATACACTGCTACACCATACACTACAATACACAACACCACTAAACATTAAACACTTTACACCACACACTGCTGCACCATACACTACAATACACAACACAAGATTTTTGTTTTCTATCTGCCAAGGCCGGAAATATAAACAATATATATTTTAATAATAATTGCTTTGCTATGCAAATAAAAACAATTTGCTCAACCTTGGCCACAATATCTGGGCTTGTCTTCATATAAATCAATGCATAGATTTCTGTTTATATGATTGTGGTTATGGTTGTTTATTAACCCCCCCCCATGTTGACTCCATGGCTGCGGCCTTGCTATCTCAGTGACTTTTACCGAAATAGCCAACAATATGAATATTCAGAGCGCAGAGAGAGGGAGGGAGGAGAGGGCGGGATTTAAAAAGTGCATAATAAATAAATAATATGCTAATCGTCTCGTGAATAGTGGGTGGGGGTGGGGTGGGATTTAAAACGTACAAAAAATATAAATAATATGCTAATCGCTTCGTGAATAGTGGATGGGGCGGGATTTAAAAAGTATACAGAAATAAATAATATGGTAATCGCTTCGTGAATAGTGGGTGGGATTTAAAAGCAAAAATAAATAAATAATATGCTAATCGCTTCGTGAATAGTGGATGGGGCGGGATTTAAAAAGTATACAGAAATAAATAATATGGTAATCGCTTCGTGAATAGTGGGTGGGATTTAAAAAGTGCAAATAAATAAATAATATGCTAATCGCTTCGTGAATAGTGGGTGGGATTTAAAAAGTGCCAAATAAATAAATAATATGCTAATCGCCTCGTGAATAGTGGGTGGGGGTGGGGCGGGGTGGGATTTAAAAAGTGTAAAATAAATAAATAATATGCTAATCGCTTCATGAATAGTGGGGTGGGGGCGGGGTGTGGGTGGAGCCCTTTAAACCAACAGCTGCTCTCGGGGTGGGGGCGGGGTGGGGGCGGGATTTTAAAAGTACAAAGCAAATAAATAAATAAAAAATTTGCTAATCTTTTTGTGAATAGTGGGTGGGATTTAAAAAGTACAAAATAAATAAATAACATGCTAATTCTCTCGTGAATAGTGGGGGTGGGGTGGGGGTGGAGCCCTTTAAACCCACAGCTGTTCTCGCCGAGCCTCGCACGGCACTCAACCGCCCAACTCTCTTGCACGATTTTACTGCTAAAGCGGTTGTCGTTTATGGGTGCCGATTAACCATTAGTTTGTTATCGACGTGTTTGTTCGGTGGCGAATAAGTTATCGTATGGAAACCACCACCCCCACCGATCAGAGTTAGCGACTCAATCGTCGTATGCGAAGCGAATTTGCGCGTTATCTGAAATCGCCACACGCGGGAATTTTGTTTAAAAAAATTTTTGTTTATCAATTCGCCCGCGATATCGCCTCAAAAAAAAGGCACAAGGAGGAAGCTGATTAAGGTAACGCGACGTTTTTTATATATTTTTAACAATTACATATATTTTTGTTTTAGCTGTGTTGCAAGTCGCTGGCGGCATTGAAAGCGCCGAAGCTGCCAACGTGGACCCGGTTCGACACCCGGACCACAACAGCTGTTTTAAGTGAAATCTAAGCCGGTAATTGGCCGGGTTTGCGATGATGAAACGTCGTCGGTTGTACGCGATAAAATTGTTAAACTGAACACGAAAAAAAATTGTCGCAGACTTTTTTTTCTCTTTAAAATCGAACTCGCCTCGAAATAACGGGATTGGCCATGACTCCCGCAGCGGCCTAGTCAATCCACGGCGTTGCCTAGAAAGCCCTGCCGAAGATGAAGCGCTTCGCCCGGCCGGTCTTTTCCTTGTGCTCGCTGTAAGTGTGGCCTTTTTTTTATTTTGCGAGGGAAATTTGGCATGAGGGGGATATTTATTGTTACATTTTACTTTTTTGAAATGTAACAAAAAAATGTATTGCCGTGGTCATGTTCGCACATTCATGCCTTTCGTACGTTGCGTATTGTTGTTTTAGCGTGCGGGTTTCGTGTTTGTTTTTATTTTAAATCGCTTTGCCAACGCGTCGCAACAACAATAGTGGCGCGGTCGTGGTGAAGTATGGTCAAACGACGCGAAATGACTCGCACGGCGCGGGGAATGCCTTCATCCCGCAGTGTTTGTACAAAGGGGGACTGTAAGCTACGCTACTTAAAGTGCTGTGCCCGTGCGCGGCAAAGTGTTTAAGAGTTCATAGTTCATTTAGTTCATTTATTTTGGTATAGCCCTGTGAGCCATTCGGCTCTTGAATCGGGTGCAACCTCAACAAACAAAAAACATGAACAAGAAAACATCTTAAAGTGACTTTGTGTGACTGTGCAAACAGAAAATACAGGAAAAAAATATCAAAATATTCCTGAAATAGCACCGTACACCAACGCTGTGTGCAAAAATCCCAGTGGGATGCAAGTCAAATAACAACAACAAGAGTATAAAATCCATTGTTGTACTGTACGTGCTATGTTCCCCGCGTCTACGCGCCCCGCCTTTAACAAACCCGCACTAGGGGAGCGCTCATCCAGCAGTAGATTAACAAAAGGTGTCTCGCCCTCTCTCTCCCTCTCTCTCTTTCTCTTTACGCGTACTGTAAAGCATCGTTTATTTTTGGTTTAAAAACTGTTATTTTTGCCTTTTTACATTATGCCTGACTCCGGCCATGGGACTGTGGAACGTCCACTCCCGATCGTCCCACGCTAAAAAGCTCCATCGTGGCCGGTAAAATATGTACACATTTGTCTGGAATTCTGCAGCGATATGCTGCTGCGGATAGACTGATCACGGTCGTAGGAATGTGGAATTTCCATCACTGGCGCAAGACCAGTTTCTCACTTGACTTTTGAACGCATCCGTGAAACTACACATCGAGTCACACTCTTTGGTTCTATTCGGTAAAGTCACGTAGGTAAAAAAAATAAAAACAACAAAAATCACGACGTTTCGGCCACAACACAAGCGGCCTTCATCAGGTGAAGGGATGAGGCTGTCTCGAGGATCCCTTCGCCTGATGAAGGCCGCTTGTGTTGTGGCCGAAACGTCGTGATTTTTGTCGTTTTATTTTTTTTACCTACGTCACTTTACCGAATAGAACCAAAGAGTATGGATCCTTGCAGTCACGAAAGCTTTAAATCTAGAATACACGTCGATTATATAACTGCAGTTTTAGAGGTCTACACTGCGTCGATCGAAGCGCTATTATGAATTTTAAAAAATAAGATAATACATTGTACTGTTATGCGGCACATAACCCGTAAGTTTATTGTGACCTAATGTTGACCCATAAGATGTTCTAGAAGGATTAGAAAGCGGAGAATTAGCACACGTTTAGTACGTAGTAATTCAAGTGTACGCTCCCATAAATTATAGTTCGTAGATCGCTTGGTTGCGATCGCGGGGCAGGGTAGCCCCAAAAGTTATACAATGCTTTAAAACACACATTTTAGATTTATCGTAAGCATTGCTGAACCAAGTAATTTACCTCCTGTGGAGTGTGACACTAAAGCGGATGGAGAGCGGGGTTGGTCACAACGCTTGTGTTTATAATTTCAATGATATGCATTAGGCAGCTATAATTATATTTTAAACTAATTTGCCTATCAATCCAACTTGATTTATAGGTGCTTTTTTTTCTCAAACCAGCGTTCCCCCATTTAAAAAATATATATCATTCTCCAATAAAACTTTAAAAACCTTATAATTAGAAAAATAATTAGGGTAGTTTTTTAAAATAAGATTAGATTGACGTTATAGTCTTGTGCATAGTCAGTGCGAGAACCCCTTTTCTAAATTAGTGGCCAATTAATTCAATGGAAACCAAAATCTAAACTACACTACTCTATATTCTTGGTTCTTTCGGTAAAGTCACGTAGAAGGGAAACAATAAAATCATAAAAAGAAAAAATATATATTATTCTCGAAACGTCGTGAGAATTTTATTGCTTTATATTTTTATTATTGCATTGTTTCCCTTCTACGTGGTGACTTTACCGAAAGAACCAAGAATATGAATCCCTGCAGTCACGAAAGCTTTAAATCGAAAAATTGTGGTTCATTTGTGGCAAGCGCTTTGTGTGAAATGAGTGCGACTTTTGTCACGTGTTCGTTTGGCAGTCGAAAGCCAATGCAGCTCAACGAGCCTTGGACGGGACAAGGCCGGATCTTGCAGTGGCCCGTCACGACACGTGCCAAGGAATTTTTAATCTGGTGGAATAAGCGAACTCCACTCGGCTACCACCCCCTGATGCTGCCGTGGAATGGCTTTAGAAAATGTAAACAAAAAAATGCATTTGTAGTCTGCTGGTGCAGCTTATTCCAAACGCCTTAAAAAAGAGGCAGAGTAAAACATAAATATGGAAAAGGGGGGGGGGGGGGGGGGGGGGAGAGAAAGCACGTGTTAAGAAAATGCGGCAGCGAAATTGAAATTCGATTTAAGTCACACAGTATAGATGAGTTGAGTCGCATACAATGAGGTGTGGGCCCCGCCAAGGCTATTGACGGAAACGTCAGAAGATATTTTCCCAAAAAATTAAATCGGGCAAAGGGTAGCCAAGAAACGGAGTAAACATTAACCGTCTCAGTTTTGTGGACAACGTTTTGTCAATAACTGATGTATGCACGTACATGTTGAACATATTTCGTGTTGAGTCTGTGGGCAGCGCTGAGTCTGTGGGCAGCGTTGAGTCTGTGGGCAGCGTTGAGTCTGTGGGCGGTGTTGAGTCTATGGGCAGGGTTGAGTCTATGGGCGGTGTTGAGTCTATGGGCAGCGCCGAGTCTATGGGCAGCGCCGAGTCTATGGGCAGCGTTGAGTCTATGGGCAGCGTTGAGTCTATGGGCAGCGTTGAGTCTATGGGTAGCGTTGAGTCTGTGGGCAGTGTTGAGTCTATGGGCAGTGTTGAGTCTATGGGCAGTGTTAGTCTATGGGCAGTGTTGAGTCTATGGGCAGTGTTGAGTCTACGGGCAGTGTTGAGTCTGTGGGCAGCGTTGAGTCTATGGGCATTGATGAGTCTATGGGCAGTGTTGAGTCTATGGGCAGTGTTGAGTCTATGGGCAGTGTTGAGTCTATGGGCTGTGTTGAGTCTATGGGCAGTATGTATGTTGAACTTCTTTCGCCACAGTGCACAGCCAAACGTGCTAATCGGAGGTGATTGAAATGGTGTACTGTACAATACTGTACAGGTAACGATTGAAGCTCTGAACAAAGGAAGTCTGCAAAGTGGGGCTCCAAATAGAATTGAGCAGAAGCAAGGTCATGGACGGCAAGGTCATGGACGGCAAGGTCACCAAGGGGATCTGCTTTTTTTGGGATGTTTATCCTTTGGGGGGCCGGGGGGGGGGAGTTTCTTTTTAATTTGTCAACGTGCAATCAAAACTCTTTTTACCACCGCAGTTATCGTGACTCATCATGGAGTTCATTTGTACGTTCGTTTCTCAGTCCCCTTGTCCTGGTAAGGGTCGCGGCGGCAGCGTGTTGAGTGGTGGCGTCCAGACCTCCCTTTCCCTGGCGACAGACTCCAGCACTACTACACACTACTACACTATACACTACTACACTATACACTACTACACTATACACTACACTATACACTACTACACTACACTATACACTACTACACTATAGCAGCGTGTTGAGTGGTGACATCCAGACCTCCCTTTCCCTGGCGACAGACTCCAGCACTACTACACTATACACTACTACACTATACACTACTACACTATACACTACTACACTATACACTACTACACTATACACTACTACACTACACTATACACTACTACACTATAGCAGCGTGTTGAGTAGTGGCGTTCAGACCTCCCTTTCCCTGGCGACAAACTCCAGCACTGCTATACTATACACTACTGCACTATACACTACTGCACTATACACTACTGCACTATACACTACTGCACTATACACTACTGCACTATACACTACTGCACTATACACTACTGCACTATACACTACTGCACTATACACTACTACACTATACACTACTACACTATACACTACTATACACTACTATACACTACACTATACACTACTATACATTACTATACACGACTACATTATGCACTACACTATACGCTACTATACACTTATACACTACTATACACAGACTCTAGTTCTTCCTAGGGAATTCCCAGGCCAGCCGAGCGACAGTCTCGCCAGCGTGTCCTGGGCTGGCCCCAGGGCCTTGGCCGAGTGTATTAATAGAGTGTTCAATAATTGACGGTCTTACCGATAGCAATCTGATTATATAGCGGAGACGCAGTGATTATTATATTTTTTTTAAGCACAGTTAGTTGAATTGAGCAAATGTCGAAGCGCTTGGGGAAAAAAATGATGGGAGGGAATTCCAAAGTTAGCAGCACATTGCGTTATGAACAGGCTCAGTGACTTTCATTCGATTTTAAGGGACGCTGCGGTGGCTAGGAGA